CTTCAACAGACAATAAACAATTCACAAAAACTATATTCCCTCAACCCAAATTTCCATTTGCCTTGAATATATCTTATACTACGCAGAATGGTTCCTATCAGATGATATAAATTAACTGACATTTGCCAAAAACGTCTTCACTTTATCAAGAACAAAAATTTTTATCAAGTGAAGAATAAAGCGCCATACTTATTACACAATAATAGTACCTTAGGGCACTTTTTTTCAAAAGAGATTATATTTATAAGCGAAAAGCAACATAAGGGCCTCTACGGTCTTGCATACATGAACGCTGCAAAACCGTTCGCTATAGACAGGAGAATAGGCTTTCTTGTAAATGTACTATTCAAGTGGACAAAAGAAGCTACCGCCTCGTGGGCAAGGGTGACAAGTTAAGTACAGGGGGAAGCGGGCCATAAAAAAAAGGAACTTTTTCTTCTGACTTCGAGGGCTATCACTACACTTATATAAAATTACTTATCGGACACATTTACCACACATATTAAAGAGCATATATAAATTACTATCATATATCCGCCCCACAGCCTTTTTTCATGAGAGGAGCAGCCATACAGAGAGATTCCTCGCCACGCGACCGTCAAGTGCGGGCTGCGTGAGCTTCAGCGAGATTCGGTGATTTTCGCCCACTGTAGACCACCTTATTATAAACTAACCGGCCGAGCCAAAGTAATGATGGGGTTAATAGTTCAGAGATTTACCTGCTTAGATTTACCACCTTCCTCACGGTACTCAGCAACACACTTCCATTCCAAACGTAGGCGAAAGTTTCTCAAACGCCCTATTCGATTCCACCAGTAACGGATGGCACCCCAATGCTGCTAGCAGTACCAAAGTTTCCAGACGGAAGGTAAGAGGTCGGCGACCATAGTAGAGGCAGAGGATATTCTCTTCCAGTGCTCGTAAGTAACCGCCAGCGCCCCTTTCCAGCCAGAGGGGCCACGAAGGAACAATATCGGATTCCTCCATCCCAGGATCACGTCCGGTCACCCACCAAATCATGGCACGCCTATGGCGACTTGAGGTGAAGAAATGATGTCACTAGGACCGCTAGCGACCATGGCGATGAAGCGGAGCTGTTGATGTATCAGGGGTCTTCACCAGATCGAATAAGTAACTATCTCCAGATAGCTATCCATGGGTGACTCATACAAGAATAGTATTCGCAGCCTGTAAATCCGGACACGGTGACATGAAATTGCCGAAAGCCGTCTTCTCCCACAGTTCAGGCCGCGAAACTTGGCAGAAACTGACTTAACATTATTTTTAGGATATGAATAAATGAAGGTATGGGACGAGGAGCCAAAGCTCCTGCTTATAGAGGAACATCTTGGGTATCTTCCGCCCTGGTACTCGTATCCCCGTTCTCTGTCTGGGCTGCGAAAACTTTGCTAATATGTGACTCGTAGATTAGAAATCGTCTTTTTTTATTTGGCCCCCACCCCCTGTATATGGCGAAGCTTGAGAATCCGAGAAGAGAAAAAGCTGACGTAGCAATCATTGAATTGCTCTAAATACTCATATAGCGAATAGTGAGAGCCTGTCAGAGAGCATGACAACGAAATTGTACAGATACTAGATTATCCACCCCGAGCAGTTCAGTCGGACTATGAACACAAGTCGCCACCATCGTTAAAACACCTGAATAGATCCAGCGTCATGAAACCGGTATGGGACATTAGCGACGGCGGAGCTTCCTCAACTGGCAGATGCTTACCTCGGAACTCCATTGAAGGTTCAGCAGTTCCACGGAATGTCCAGCAACTCTTGTGCTCTAGTTCTTCGAGCCACCGCAGGGTCTGCAATGCAGCTGCTCTCAGGAGGATAGCTCGATAATTTGATAGTACAGGGGCGGGGGGGGCTTCTGGGTCAGAGTCCAAAAAGAAAGTCACTTGGACAAGTCACATATCACAGGCAAAGTTATTCGCAAGACCAGAAAAGAAGGACGTGGTTACGAAAGTACCAGGGCGGAAGATACCCAAGATGTTCCTCGATAAGCAGGAGCTGGCTCTCGCCCATCACCTTCATGTACACCAAAATATGAAGTCATCTCCAGTCGCAGCCTGACTGAGAGACCTTTGGAATTCATGTCACCTCCAAACAGCTGCGAAACTTCTAGTATGGAGTCACCATGGATAGCTAGCTACCTGGAGACCAGTACTCTCGATCTGTGTGAAGACCCCGTCGAAAATCGCAGCAGCTCCGACGTCGCGTTTAAGACATCATCTTCACCGCAGTGCCAAATTCGCGATGGTGGGGACCGACGTAGCAATGGAACCGGACATGTCGTCCCCGGTTACCATCTTGGAAACCGTTGTACTGCCTACAGCGTCTGGTGCCACCACATGGAATCGGAGGGGTCCGCGAAAAACTCCGGCTCACTGGAATGGGAGTTGAGTACCTGAAGAAGATGGAATATCTGAGTAGGTCACCTGTCCCAAACCATCTCAATTATCCGGTTCGGGTGGAGCTCAACAGGGGTAGTCTACAGTGGCGGAACTCCCGGCACCGAATCACGGTCGCACGGCTCTCGAAGGCGCTCCTCCAGAAGGCTGTGGTGGAGTATCATAATAGTATTTAATTTGCTGTTGAATATGGTAGTAGAAATGTCCGATCAGAATTTAATAAAGTGTAACTTGTAGCGCCTCGAAAGTCAAGGAAGAAAGCGACTTCTTTTTTGCCCCCCCCCCCCCTATATACTGTACTACAGCAGGAAGAATATCAGGAGTGGACCTGGGGCTTTATGGGAATTCCTCTAGAAAACTATGCTCACCTACCTGTTTTCAACAGTAAGCTGCAACTTGAAAGTTGCGCCTATCCATCTTCCGGACACCTGCTATACAATATTATCATATCACGATTTATATGGCAGTATAAATGGCAGTGAGATCAAGAATCGGATATGATTCACGTAATCATATACATGTTATGGCTTATCACATTGGATCGCAACTAACAGAATACCCCTAATAGAATGAAGTGGAAGGAAATCAGCAAGAAACAAAAAGAAAAGATCCGAATCTTCGTCGTGCAGTTCTGCTATGGTTTCGGGCGTCCTTGCACAATTCATGCTTCCTCGCATGTCGGGCGTAGGTCCGCGATCGGTCCAGAGAATTCGGTCTTCAGCGAATCGATCTGGTTCGCGTGCTCCGAGTTGTGCCTTGGGAGGGAGGCCATTCGCGATTTCGTCGATAGTTACGGTACTCTGCAGTATTCTTGGTGCAGACGGGAGGGACTGGACGAGCGAGCGAGGTTAGATGCCGTTTGGAGTCGCGAGCATTTCGGCGGAGCCGAGGCTCATTTGGATTGCCAAGTAGGCGAAACCCAGCGTGAAATAGCACTGTACACGAAGGGTTACTTACCATTCAATGATTGACGAATGACATATTCTTGAAGTGATGGCCGCAAAGGGCATGCACTACGTTTGGCCTCTTGCGGCTTCAGTCTTAGCGGCGCCGCCAGATAATCGTTAGTGTCATGCCATTAGCCGCCAGCCGCCAGAATGTCACATTCGTAATCAGGATGTTAAACTACCCCTCAATACAAGTTTTTAGCGGATTTGGTGACTTAGGCAATTTAAAAATGAGCTCGGTGCCGAAATTGCTGGAGTCCCAAAGGCATTAGCCGCGAGCGAGCCATTAATTTTGGCGTGAAAAGTTGCAATGAGCGTTACAGTAGTGAGGTGGCTCATCCACTTCTTCTTCGATCAAAAGTGGTAGCCTACCGTGAGCGCAGCCCCAGAAATTAAATGCGGACTTGACCTACTCAAAGAGCACAACAAGCAAAAAGCCTTTCACGACCCGGAGCCAGTTTCAAGCCAAACACTCGAAAAGTACCCCTCACTTGAACACCCATAACTTCTTTGAGAGTAGAGCTTTTGGAGAGGTGGAAAGGACTGTGGAAGCACTAGGTTGGCACTTGTTACCTGAGTTTGAGCGATTTCAAAAAATTCCTTTTCAAGAAATTTTCTCCGTTGTGATCCGGTCGTGATCATCGGGGTCATTTACAAGTCCTTACGCTTTGAACAGCCATAACAAGCTTCATACAGGGCCATTCGTAAAAAGAAACAGTGCCGGAATTTCGAAGCTTTCTACTTTCCAGCAAGACTTTCATTTTATCCCTAGGCCTGCTATTCGAAAAAACCCCCGTTGTGATCACAACGCAACCCCTGCCGGACGACACGAAAAACCCACCCCTCCGACGCCATACCACTTCCAGTTGGTTCAAAGACTTTGGTATGCTTCTAAAACACATGTTTTCGCCAAGGGTATCAGGAAATAGTTCATTGGGCGCCAATTGGCATCACCTCTGTAATGCGCCATGCACAGGGCTCCCACGCAGAGGTGTTGGGAAGGTGCAACTTCCAAATAAGACTTCTCCGTGCAAGCAGATGTGCTCCTGCGACCAGAAAGGTCCGGAAGTGTATTTTCATCTGTTTATCAATTCATGATGTCATTGTGGGCGGAATTTTCCCGTCACCGCCCACTTCTGCGCTGCCAGGTTGCTTCTGTCTTCAGGTGTCTCTTGTGTTCTTCCCACGAATAACTCTTTCGTCATTGAAGCTCTACAACATCTGAGTATGGCTGCATCCCCACTTAGGAAAAGCCCTGCGCTTATGATCCCCCTCGCGGTCAAATACGACCCCGTTGTGATTATCACAACGACCGAAATCAAGCAGCACACCCGCCACGCGACTACTGCGACTTCATTCAGCGCGCATCGCGTCCTGTGTCTTCTCCGAATCATCGACGACTCCTAGTGTGAAATTCCAATGCAGGCCCATCACAAATCTCGAAATCATTATTGTTTTATCAGAAAGATCGTGTAAAATTTCAAATAACATCATAACATCTGTAACAAGGCAAAAGCTAATCGACAACACACAAACAGTTCAAACAAACAAATCCTCCAAACATGGAGCTATAGTTTACAATTGTAGAAGGAAATAGAACAGATTTTGCACCCTAGACAGCGATGACAGCTCAGACAAGAGAAGATTTCAACGTAGGTACCATGGGTGGAGAGAAGTACAATTTCAGCCGAAATGCGTCAACACCATTAAGATAATACCTGCAATGCACCATATTAATTTCAATTATCACATGCCATAAATACTAAAGAGCAGAAGCAAATCACAGGGGGGTGAATTAAGGGAGTTTTCTTGTACGAAAGAAGGATTACTAGGATTACTGTATGCGAAATCCTTAGTAATTTTAACTGCACTGGTTAATCACCAGGAACTTCTTCAACATAAGGCGCAGTTTGTCGACGGCGGGGGGGGGGGGGGCATTTTGCACTTTTGCTACTTCCCATCGACGTGTCGGCCTATCTAGACAGCCTCTTCTCGAGTTGACAGGTTTTAACATGATGGCTTGACTACCTTGTTCCAGCTTCACAAGAGTTCACAGGAGACATGTAAACCGGAACTGAGGAAGCAATGATAGTACAAAATCCCCCTCTCCCCGTCGACAAACAGCGCCCCAACATAATATTGAACAAAAATCCTCTGCTTCACAATTTCTATTTAAACTGCTTAAAAATCAACTCCATCAGATCAGTCCCTTCAAACGACCCTCGCAATGGCAGACTTAGGACCGCAATATTTGAAATATGCAAAATTGTATCCATCCATAGGGTACCTTGCTTTGGCGCACATAGGCAACTGTGGCGCTGTGGCATATTCTGGTGAGGCTATAAATTCTATACAATTCTACAAAAGCTGAAGCTCTCAAATGAGGAAAAAAAGAAATCAAAAGAAGTTTGGCGGGGAGGACACAGTGAGATTAGGATGCGCCCACTTTGGCTGTCTGCTGCCCTCACAACCAGGTGGGGCGGCTTAAACCGAAGTTGCGCCGAAGCACGTTCATAGTTCGCCATCCAATCGCTTAAATCGCTAACGATAGTTCAAGCGTTTAGATCGCGCGATCGGATCGGATCGCGAAATATGAACGCGCTTTCAGAAAGCAATTCAGAAGAATCATTATTGGAGGGCACAGGTGCAGGATTAATCACACTGCACTTGCACCCACTCGCCTGAAAAAAAGTGTATTAGCTTCCCACTGTATTACGTGAAATGAGTAAAGAAAAATGGCGCGAAAAACTCATGGTCCATTGATATGAACTTCGACTGGTCAAACAAGTCTCGCCTGCGAGCGTAATAAGTAACGGACCTGTCTGGAAGAGACATAAACCCAAATATTTCCATCGACTTGTGTCAACTGCAAGTCTACAACAATCTCACGCGATGAGGGCGCAGATTATGAAGCTCAACTTTTGGACAGACTGCCGCGCTCACACTCTCTCAGGTCATGATTTCGGAAAAAAAAACGGCCAGTTCGGCTTGTTGGGGACATCAAAAGGTATTTGTCAAAACCTGTACAGATCACCTTGTGAAGACTTGAACATACTTGTAAGCTGAGTGGCTCACCTCTACCATTTCGCAGCTTCACAAAAACTCAGAGATTTTACCAGAGCAGCGCCTTGTTACTAAACATGAACTAGCAAAAGGAACAAGCAAAAGTGCAAAATGTCAATCCCAAGCCGAATGGCGCCAAAAAGCAGACACTGCAAAGCACGGCAACGGACCTTTGAGACCTATTCTCTTTCCCTTTTCTCCACTCATTTTACAAAATTTCATCACATGTGATCCACGTTGCGACGCGACGCCGTAACGTCGATTTGACATCCAATCTCCAAAAACCTTATTGTTACAGAGGAAAATAATAAATTTAATTGTTGCAGGGAAGGATACAACGTCCACATTCTACGTGTTCTTCGGCGGGAAACAGCAGAAGCGAAGAAGTCAACGAGCTCTTCAGATCCACAAAATGGTGCTTACGTTCTCTCGCGAGTATGTGTTCTACCGTCCAGATTATTGAAGTGAAAATTTAAAAAATGCTGATAAAAGTAAATTTTATACGACTTGAACTTGAACACACCTGACAAGCCGTTTTTCACGAATGAACCCTAAATTGCTGTAGAGACGTTGGAGCATTTACATTGGAAACTTCCGTCTCGAGGACGACTTCGTCACACCCCTGAGCCTGCATTCTTTCGATAGCCCGCCGGACTAATCTTGTACCTGAAAGCAAGACATAAGTCAGTCACGGATGTTTGAACACATGTTGAGCACTTGACACAGTAAACGCCGTGTGCATTGCCGGCCATACTTCCATAGGCGCATCGAATTTTGTAATGTTCGTATTAAGAACAAACCGCCGTAGTACATAGTGGGTCGTGGTGTCTTTGCAGACCCATGGCCGCTAAATGACTCTCTAGAATGGCAAAAAGCGAAAACAATCGCGGAGAACACCTTGTATAAAGACCTGGCAACCTATCTGGACGAGTTCCGGACCTGCTCGTTTCTAGAGGCAAAGCTATTCTCTGTCACCTTCAGCTCAATAACAGTTCTCCTCGCAATCCAATACTCATACCATCTAACAGCAACAAAAAAGAAACGGAAAACGTGGAGTAAAAACCGTGCGACAGAAAATTGTTTCTGAGTTTCGATGGGCGGGAAAACCGAGGAGGCGTCAGAACTGCCACTTCATGAGAGCCACAGCGCCTTCGTTACTATTGTGAAGCCGCGAAAGTGGGATAATCTTGAAGATTGTGGACCGGACTACTTGAACGAGGAAGGACGCCTAGGAATTGCTTGAGCGAGAAAACTTTCTTTGAACCATTCACCATTAGGTACCTACCGTACACTTCTCGGCGCTATCGTAGTCCAAAGGGGTCCTGCGGGAGCGCCATTCTCCGGAACAAGGCTAGGGGTCGAAGCACAGAAGAGTCTCCATGAAATCTGCGCTCTAAGGCTAAACCTTGCTTAGGGGACGGGATATTGAGGCGCTGCCGGACCCGTTCATCGCACACATTGGTGTCTACTCCTATTGCTTCGTACACTTTTGCCCAAGCTGTAGAAGCAGTGTAAGGGAGAGGATCTGTATGTCGGATGCTCATTGCAGGGGGAGTCGCGAAAACTGTGAGTCATCTTTTCATACAGCCAACGCGACGCATCTCCTTCGCCATTAACCTTCACCAAAAGAATCATAGGAAGAAAAGAAGTTAGGAATAAGGCCGCGTTGATGCTCTACGACTGCGGTTCGAGAGATTCGGCGATCTGAAAGATTGCGCGACGAAAAAAGTGTACGTTTCGATCTGAAGACGACGGAGATTGAGTGGTCCAGCGATTTGGGAGCATGGCTTTCCTGGAGATTGCGCGTCCAAACCATAGATATCTATCGATCGGGGCCGGGCGCTAGCGATCGCGGAGATTTAACGATTCGGCGATTTGCGAGATCGCCGGATCGTTCGACACAAGTCGACGGAACCCTCAATTTCCTTAATCGCCGGGTTGCTCAATCTCCGCAGTTGCCAGATCGATAACTATGCGTTTCTCGTCGCGCAAACTTCCAAGCTTCCCAATCTCCCAGATCGCCGACCCCCCTCTGTCGCAAAGCTAAAAGGGGAAGTGTTTAAAACTATCGCATTACCCACAAAGATTACTATTCGTCCAAGAAGGCCTCTACCGAAATGGACGCCACCACAAAAGATGAAGGGAAAAACAAGGACAAAAAAGTTTTGGAAAAAAAGAATAGCATAAAAAACTAGCCGAGTCCCAGCTTCCTATACAGCTCATCAATCGCCAACATAGCTAAATATCCCTTTCGTCGTCCTTCGGCATTTCTGTCCAGCTTACAAACAACTGCACCAACATAACAATCTGCGGTCGTATCGTAGGCCTGAATGACAAGTAGTAGAGAATACAATGAGGACAGAAAAAAAGAAAATGCAAAACAAAACGAACCAAAACGCAGAGCTCCGGCCAGTTGTGAATAAAATACCTGTATGTGTATATAGAATAAGGTTCACTGAGATCTTTGGTTATAAGGCGCATGATATCCCCGATTTGTGTTTCGTCCTTAAAAAAACAATAAAGCAAAACTATATGGCAATATGATATGATATGCGAAATAAACAGCGGCATCGAACGCCAGGGGAGGGAGGGTTGCCATCTAAGTGCGCCTCAAATCGGCACAACCTCATATTCTCCTAACTACACTGAAAGGGTAACTTGCTACTAATCCTGTCAAAAAGTGACATATGAAGCAGAAAACGAGTGCCAAAGTGCTAGGCTGGGATACCATGTAGCCATAACTTTTCAATGCAACATTTCATAGTCAAACAATAAGGAAAGCCTCGCCTCACCTTATCAGTCTACTAGTAATACATTTTGAAGGCTTTTCATTGCACTTTTTGCTTCATCACAACCGAACATGTGCTGATCTGGCGAACCTAACGTTCCATAAGGATCGTGGCGATGATGACGGATTGCCTGAAAAATGATGAATTAAAGAAAGAAAATTGTAGACAACTTGATACGAACTTGATTTAGCGGTTTTTGCGCAGACGTATTTTTTCATCCGTTTCCGTTCTAATTTTTGGTACCCTACAAACGGCTTTCTAGTGACTCTGTTCCTGTACGGACGGTTTACCACAAATGCTCGTTGTTTGATGATTCCCCCTTCCTCAGGATTAACCCGCCGCGTCTAGGCTCTCACGGCTTACGACTAATCGCGATATCCAATCAGTCCGACAATCCCGCCGCTTGATGCTCTACGAAAGTGACACGCTTGGCGCCTCGACTTCACGTAACGGTCTATGTGCAGGGTACAGCATCGTTGTGCGCGAACCCATAGGGGGGGGGGTCGTACTTGGCCGCTGTGGAGGTGGGGTCGTTAATCTCAAGGTCACGAGCCCGGCAATGCTTTGACATTTCAATTGATAGTGAGAGTGGAGCTATGGAAGTCAAGATGCTACAAAAATAAAATTTATTATGAGCGTATTCTTTACAGATTTAGTGCGACGTTTAACAGCACCTCTTCATAGGCGAAACCCGAAAATGGGTGTACTTGGCCGTGGGGGACGTGGGGAGTATCGCAAAAGTAGGCTCGCTAGGCATCAAACAGTACAAAAGTGTCATTGATAAGTTTGATGGAACGGACGGAATCGCAGCAAGGACCCCGACGGTAAGGAGCGACTACAAAATAATAAAAATTTATTAGCCACAGAGCAAGAATAATAATAAATAAATAATAAATAAATATCAGTTAATAGCATGAACTCGTAAGTACGTAGATGACTAAGCAATACGTCTCAAACAGATTCGTGCGTATTGTCCTTTTCAAACCATTTTTTGTTAAAATTTTTTTTTTTTTTAAACTCAAGCATCCTGCCTTGCATGGCTAAAAGCAGCCTGCAATCAACATTATACATCGATTTCCACCACCTTTGCGTAGGAGCGCCTATTATGCACGGCGCTCAGGACCAAATCGATCATGAAGTAGCCGAGCTTCTCTTTCACATCATTCTGTGAAAAGGAAATAATGTGTGTTTTGAAGGCACACTGAAGTTTCCGAAGGTGTATCCTCACAATGGCACAGAAGGAGTCGATTTTTCGGGTGGGTCAGAGGGTAGCGCGTCTGTGACCCATCTAAAATATCTCCTGAACTAGCGGGTCTTCAGGAAAACTGTAAAGCTTATTGGAAAGAGAAAAGATAGGGCGGTTTCAAGACGATTTTAATCCTGATGAAATTGCGTTCGAATAAGTAATCCTCGTGTGAAGCATAAAAACCCGCTTGCCCATTTACCCCTAGCCGATCCGAAACCCACCCCTAAATGTTCAGAACGGGGAACATGCAGATTGTCAACTATAAAACGCGACAGTAAGGCACATTCCCGTGCATACTGCTAAACCGTTCATAGCAAAAAGCCGCGCCCACTGGGCCCGATACACTGACTTTGGGCTTATTTTTCACCAATTAGCTTACCGCATATATCACCATTAGTCGCTCTTGCTTGTCGATTTGTGCTCGCTTCTTACTTAAGTTGCAATGATATGAATGTTATCGAACTGCGAGTTCTATTTTTGAATTCCTAAGTAAAATTGTAGGTAATGGAGCTGTTGCTTATGATTGCATGAGGTCTGAAACAGCCATTATGGCTGGATTTAGAGGCAGAGTACCGCCTTTCGAAAAACACTCAGAATTCATTTCAGAAGCATTGTGGTGAACATGCTCTGCTGTCAGTTTAGCAGCAGGAGGAGGGGGGGGGTCGTAACTGGTAACCGCACGTTCGAGGGGGGTCGTTACTCACAACTACCAATTTTGCACATCCGCATGCGTACCCTGTATATGTGGCCGCTGCGACTCTACCTAGGGCGCGCATAAGTTAATATCATTCGCGAAGGAGAGATCATTTATTTCATTTTCATTAGAGTTCAATTTATGGCGGAGGCAAAATTCAAGAGAAATACGGTTCCATCCAGTAAAGCAGAGTAGTGAGGGGGTAGGCATAGCTGATGCTTAAATAGCTCAGAGAAGACGTACGTTTTTGTCGACTGTTCCACTCGCTTCTCAGCGAATTTGCCTCGTCTGCAAGCCTCAATGGCGGCTTTGGTCGTCTGCGCAGCGCGAAGTCTAACACTTGGAAGGTGGAAGGGATATAAAGGTGTTGCTCGGCTTATCTGTAACCTATGTCAGCGCACAGTGTCAATCCTTCCGCAGTTATGCAAATACAGCGACTTGGTAAATGGGTCATCAGCTGAAGACGGTTCACTTACCACAACAGAAGACATTCGGAGAAAAAGGGACTACGAGCTGACAAGGGAGGTCGTTCAGGCCGTGGTGAGCTTTTTCAAAACGATTTGTTGCATGTTGTAGGGGTCCATACAAGGACCACACAGATGGGGTTCATTTTTGCTAAACGCTATTGGGAATCCAAAAAAGGAATAAACAATCGCTCAAAACAAGTTTTATCATCTCATTCGCATCTGTTCAGCTGTAAAGCAGAATATAAAGTTTATAAAGTGTTTCTGAACTAGACATGAAAAAGAACATTGAATAAGGAGCGAAATTGAAGGGCATTACCTTTCATACAGTGAGCCATCACTGCACTATCGTTATCGGGGTTTATATTAGCATCCCTTCGCGCTCGCAGTGGCCATTTAGAGCCACGCTGGCCCCAGATCACGTCTTCGCCATAAATAATTGTCGGAATCGTGATCAGGGCCATTAATTACCCCTGATCACCATTCTGACAATTATTTAGGAGGTCGATTCTCGTCTGCATACAAAAAAATGAAAAGCCCCTCTTAACGACGCTGAGACTGCTTTAGGGGGGGAACTGATAGGCCACCGCGTGGAGAGCATCGGCAGGGAGCCATTAATTAATTATAACTTCGTCACAACACAAAAAGCTCGGAAAAAATTTTTCCAGCGTAACTCTATACGTAGGGATAGTTGATGGTCCTGATCACGGTTCTGACACTTATTTTTTGGCGGCTGAACAGGCCAATCTGAGACAGGTATGGTGCGCTAATATAAGGACCCGCCACGCAGACCGACAATGATGCTGGTAGGCGAGACAAGCCTTTGCACTCAAATGGCTGCTCCACGCGCTGCGCCATATATTAAAAATGATGTCATGTTATCATCGGTAACTGCCGTAACATTTTCACGGGTGAGTAGTAATTTACCATTCAAGAGAGGCTTCTGATTCGATAGTAATTTCGCGACGTAATAATGAGTGACGCCCGTTTTGAACCGTGTTCCGCATAGAATGTGTTCTTTAAATGGCGTATTACGGCATACACATTATGGAGCCCTACAGGAATCAAGATGCATGAAATCTGAAAAATGCTAGGCAAGGATTCCTATCCATAAACCCACCGAATGAGAGCCGCGTCCACGCTTAATGCGGCACACATTCCATCTGCCACTGTGGGCGACATGGGAAAGTGCAGTACCGTTGTGAAGAAGATGGCAGATGACCGAGTACCCCAATGCAGCTCACCACATGCCAAGTAAAGCATTTGGATTTTGACCTCATTTTGCGCTGTTTTTCATGCCTGCTCAAAGGTTACCCTACATACTATACTCTGTCAACGCTACAGCTAGAACAGAGGCGAATTAGGTGGTTTAAAAAGTCCATTCTTGTCGAATTATTTTTTGACCTTTTGACATTCCCAGTACCGTTTAGCAAAAATGAACCCCATCGCTATGGTCTTCGCATAGACCCCTACAACATGCAACAAACCGTTTCGAAAGCTCACCACGACCTGAACGACCTCCCTCGTAAGTGCGCCTCAAATCGGCACAACCTCATATCTTCAACTACACTGAAAGGGTAACTTGCTACTAATCCTGTCGAAAAAGTGACATATGAAGCAGAAAACGAGTGCCAAACAGTGCTAGGCTGGGTTACCACGTAGCCGATCATTTCAAGCAATTCATAGCAGAACAGTAAGAAAGCCGGCCTTACTTATAGTCTAGCGAGTTATAACATTTTGAGCTTTTTCCATTGACCTTTGGCTCATCACAACGCGAAGATGTTGCTGATCCTCGCGACGCAATGTTCAAGTGGATGTTGCGATGCCTCGATGGATCTGAAAATTGATGATTAAAGAAGAAAATGTAGGACAACTGATAAGACTCTATTTATACGACGCTGATGAGAAAATAATAAGCAAAGAAAGCAACGTGCAGTTTGCGGGCGTATTTTTCAACAGTACGTCCTCATGTTTGGTACAAACGCTCTCTAGTGATCTTTCCTGTACGACGGTTACCACAAGAATGCCCACGTTGTTTGATGATCCCCTCCTTCCAGGATATAACCATCGTTGTGCGAAACCCATAGGGGGTGGTACTTGGCCGCTGTGGAGGTGGGGGTCGTTATCTGAAGTGTCACTCAGAGTCGGGCAATGCTTTGACATTTCAGTTGATAGTGGGAGTGGAGCTATGGAAGTCAAGATGTCAAAAAAATGAAACCTATTATGAGTGTATTTTTACAGATTTAAACTGCTACGTTTAAAAGCCCTCTTTTCATGCGAAATCCCCAAAAATGGGTTCGTACTTGGCCGCGGGGTACGTGGGAGTATTACAAAATTAGGCTCGCTAGGCATCAAACAGTACAAATGTGTGCAACTGCTTAAGTTGATGGAACGGACGGCATTGCTGCCGAAGACCGGATGTAGAGGAGACTGGTGCAAAATAATAAAAGAATTCATGTAGCCGATAATAGCAAGACAATTAAGATAATACAACAAATAATCAGTCAATACATGAACTCGTAAGTACGTAGATGACTAAATAATACGTCTCAAACAGATTCGTGCGTGTTGTCCTTTACAAACCCTAAACAAACATCTGCTTGCATGGATAAAAGCACCTAAATCCAGACATTTAACAGATTTTTCCAGCCACCTCTGCGATAGGAGCAGTAATGTCCGACGCACACCGACAATCGATCAGTGGATAGCCGAGCTCCTTTGCAGCCCATTTGTAGGCAATATATGTGTTCGAGAGGGCACTGACAGTTTCCGAAGTATAACCCTCCATGGAGAGTGTGACCCATCTAAAATATCTCCTAAACTAGCGGGTCTTCAGGAAAACTGTAAAGCTTATTGGAAAGAGAAAAGATAGGGCGGTTTCAAGACGATTTCAATCCTGATGAAATTGCGTTCGAAATAAGTAATCCTCGTGTGAAGCATAAAAACCCGCTTGCCATTTACCCCTAGCCGATCCGAAACCCATCCGAAATGGGAAACATTCAGATTGTCTGAACGGGGAAACATTCAGATTGCAACTGGGTAGAAAACGCGACAGGAACATTCCCGTTGCAAGCTGCTAACCGTTCATCAAAAGCCGCACCCTCAAAGAGATATAACCCCCGAAGAGACTCAGGACGTTGCCAGGCCCAAAAACCGCACTCCAATGACGTTTTTCCAATGAAAGCGGTCGCAACATTGCGGTCGATAATAGCCAGTATAGAACGATATACTGCCACCTGGTTATAAATTTTTTTTCATTTGGCTCCTGCGTTTTTTGTTATTTTTCATGTTGTTGTCGTGTTCATGTTTTTATGATTTCCCCGTCACCATTCATTGAATGCACATCTGGGGCCTGACACACTGACCTTGAGGCTATTTTTTTCACCAATTCAGCTACCGATCACCATTAGTCTTTGTTTTGATTGTGTTCCTTGTTACAAGTTACATGTCATATATGGTATGTTGACGAGTTCTATTTTGAATCCTAAGACAAAAGTAGGTAATGCAAGGCTGTTGTTCAGCCTCATATTCCATGAGGTTGGAACAGCCTATTATTGCCTGGATTTTAGAGAGAGTCCGCCTTTCGAAAATCCAGATTCTATTTCAGGAAGCCATTTGTGGTGAACATGCATCGTTGTCAGTTAGAGCAGGAGGAGGGTCGCAACTGGACCCACTTCGGGGGGGGGTTGGGGGGGGGTCGTAGTCACACCACCATTTCGCACATCCCCATGCTGTACCCTGTCTATGTGGCCCGAGCAGACTTGCCGAATCTACCTAGGGCGCATTTCGCATGAAGTAATAGAGTTCGGCGAAAGGAGAGATATTTGTTTCATTAGAGTTTAATTTATGGCGGAGGCAAAATTCAAGAGAAATTCGGTTCCATCCAGTAATGCAGGGTAGTGAGGGGGTAGGCATAGCTGATGCTCAAATGCTCAGAGAAGACGTACATTTGTCGAATGTCCCCTCGCTTCTCAGCGAATTTGCCTCGTCTGCAAGCCTCAATGGCGGCTTTGGTCGTCTGCGCAGCGCGAAGCCTAACACTTGGAAGGTGGAAGGGATATAAAGGCGTTGCTGCCTCTCCAACCTACGTCAGCGCCACAGTGCATATCCTTCCGTAGTTGCAAAACAGCGACATGGTAGATTGGAGTTCACAGCTGAAGAGGTTCCTTACAAATGACAAGAAATTGGGATGGAAAAGGGGTTACGAGACAACTTCGGGAGGGGGACGACCGTTGATTATGAACGAAGTTTTTCGAAGTTGCTTTTTTTCTGGGCTTCAACCAATTCTGCTTAAAAGGGTGGATGCTTGGGATTTCACTTCTATGAGCACATAGTGACCGTATACAGTCGAGTTCGCTGCTACGAAGGGGCGTGTCAGGCGTAATGAGTTTGGCGCGGTGCCAAACCCGTTCTCCACCAGCTGTTGAAGCGAGCAAGTGACAAAACTGCATCATATCATTCGCATCACTCGTTTCTACCAAATGTGAGCGTATTCAACCACTGGCAGAGAACGGGTTTAATGCAATGGCACACACTTGGTGCCTCGCTTATTCATCCGCAGCTACTTAGATATTCCTAATATAAAAGAGTGGATTCAATGATGTATAAGATCTAAATGGGGAAACAAAAAAAAACCAAGAGAGCCGTGAGTTCGAATCCAACCTGGCTATTGGAAACACACGATCGGGGAGCCGCATTTTCATGAACAATTTGAAGGCATCTCTTGAGGGTATTGATAGTATTATCCAATGTGCACTGAGTGTCCTCCGATGCTCCGACAGACATACTCAAAATGACTTGATCGGAATAAACTGCAATGGAAGCTAAATAAATCCTTATTAAGGCACACTGTCACTTCCTTATTAGAGCCCTACAAAATACTGTAAAAAATATAGCCGCAAAACGACTCACCAAAGAATCACATCTGTTGTAAAATTGCCGAAGCACGCCGAACAACAAAATGTTCCACACCGTCGTTTACGCGCGGCAGACCGCAATTGCAGAGAGGTACAAATACCGTATGCACT